CCTGCAGGAACTCCTTTGCAGCGTCATTAACCTGACGGATTACTGATCAGTGATTTCCCCGGCTCAGCTCCCAGCGCTTTGCCGTGTCCTCCTGCGGTCTCCACACCCTGTTTTTAAACAGGCGAGAGTTAAATCAGGATGTGCCGTCCCCGCGTCGGGGGTGACTTTGCTGCGTTCTCTGTGCTGAGTGAAACATTTGTAAAGTACGTTGATGTATTTAATGGTGACTGCCTTCTGGTGATTGTATCCCAATTTGATTTTGTGATGAACTTCTGCTTTTTATATATGTCTTCCTTTTGTGCATTTATTAAACATTTTAACAGCCTGAGAATGGTGTACTAATTGCATGTGAGTTTTTTTTAAGTTGCCTTTTTTTTTTTGGTGTCCCTCCCTTACTAAGCACAGTGTGTGACTGGCATTTCCCTGGCACAGCTGCCAACAGGTGAGTCTGGGGCCGGGGCACCCGCCACGGCTGCACACGCGGACGGTTCTCACGCATCTGCCTTTATACTCAGGCGTTTCATTCTTCTCCATGAAGAGTGTGGCACCCTGGCCTTCCTGGTACGGCTGTCCTCGTTCTGCCTGATGTTTCTAGTGTTCCTTTCAGAGCACAGCCCTGCACCTGTCGGGGGAAGTGACCATTGTCTTGTGTGTCGGGGGCACAGGACTTCTCAGCAGCATTTATTGAGTGACTGTGCTCCCTGGGAGGGGACTACGAGGGGGGAAGAAGCACTCGAGGATGAACCTAAAAGGGGAGGCAGACTGGCTCCTTGAAGGGTGCCAGGGAGGGTCTGCGGTCGACGGCAAGCTTGGGGTTGTTGAAATAGAAATAGGAGCAGAGACATGATTTCCTTCCATTAGTCTGGACCACGCATCCTGCCAGCAGACCCCGGTTCTAACTCACCGCCTTCTAAAGTCATTTCCATTTTATGTCATTTCTTTCCATCATCATTGACTTTCCTTTTGGTGTAAGGAACAGGCAATCCTTCGGGTGATGGAGAGCTTAGCCTGACATCTCAGGGAATATCTCAGCATTAGGGAAAAACACGCTCGCCGGACCTCACGTGGGAATCACTGAGGTATGGATTTAGCCTTCAGAACTGGAGAGGTCTCTCCTCTCACTCTGGTTTCACAAGTTATCCTAGAATTTTTCCGTTATGTACATCGCCACATTCCGAGATGCTTGGAAGTCATCTGACTTTGCTGGAAATTAGTAAAAAGCAGGGTGAAGGGGGAATTAGAGAAAATGAGCTCTTCTGTAAGCTGGACACATGGTTTCCTAGAGGGGCTCCTCCTGCCTCCCCCGAGCCCCAGTGGGGGCCTCCTCATGGCTCCTCCCCAGGTGCCCTCCCTCTCTGGTCCTGAGCACACCTGGACACGTGTGCTTGCCCACAGACGCAGAGGGCTGGTCCCCCTCCTCCCACCGCTGCCCAAGGGGCAGGCTTCCAGGGAGGGGTCCAGGAAGCCAGCCAATCACTGGTGGTGGGCTCCGTCCCCACCCTGGGCTGCACCGCCAGCGCCCAGGAAGCCAGGGTGGCAGTAGAGGGGGCTGAACACCCGCCCCCAGAGCTGCCTAAAAATGTCACCAAGAGATGCCTCTTCATTTAGAAGGGACGTTGTCTTAAATAGAGGACATGTAACTAGAAAAGTCTTTTGACCCAGTGCAGCAGGGACTTGCCCAGGTGCCACTTCTGAGGGGCTTCACCCCGGGGAGGGGGAGGCAACCAGGCCTCATCAGGGCAGAGACTCCACAGCTTTATCCACTGAGACACACTTTAAAATAAACTCTGTAGCGTGTTCCCTTCGCAGTAGCATTTCTAGAACGCCTTAATATTTTTCTGTGTCACAGCTGCTGCTTAGTTCCATGTATAACCAGCCGTTCAGCTGTTTTTTAAAAATCCATTTCATCTGTAGCCTGTCAAAGACGTCTCTTGAAACCTGTGACACTGACTTCATCTCTTGACCCTGTAAGGCTGCTTCTCTATCTCTCTCTCCATCTTTCTCTTGGTATCCGCTGTGTATCAGTCCAGAGGACCTCCCTGCAGGCCACTTACCTTGGTCCTGTGATAACATTCACCCCCCGCATCGCTCAGACTTGGCTGGCACAGCAGGTGCTATCTCACAGCCGATGGGGCAGGGAAAACGCAGTCAGTTAGGGGCAAACACTCTTTAGGAAGCTGTGTAACAACAGAGCGCAGGTTAATGCAGATGTCACGTGAAGGAGTATAAACTATTAATACTCACTCCTAAACGTCACCAAGCACGAGGAAGACCGTCCAGGAGAACGTGGAGCCCCAGGGGTCTGCTGGAGTGACTTCTGAGCCCTGCGTTGCTCTTAAATGAGTTCCTTTTACCCCGAAGCACGCGGAGAGGGCCCACAGTGACACCCCGCAGACGACCCCCCCGGAGCAGGAATGATTTCCACTTGTAAGTCCAGGGCAGATGTGAACGCACTTGCTCTAAAAGGAAAAAATAAGACTCCACAAATAAAACCGAGTGTAAAAGTTACTCCAGATAGGCTTCAGAAAGCCTTTGCGCCCGTCAGGTGGCCTGGCAGAGGCTTGCTGGACTTGCCGTCTTGGAAATCTTCCATGTCTGGTGCCAGCTATGTTTTTAAGAAACTTTGGTCACATAATTAGCAACAGAATAGGCTCTAAACGGATCGTTTCCGAAACCTTCCTTCCTGCTCCTTTTTTTCTGCCATCCTTCCTTCCCAGAGTCCCTGGGGATTGTCCCCCGCCATCTTCCCCGGGTCCCCCGATTCTGTAGGCTCTTGCGGGTCCATCTTCCATTGTGGTCACGCACCCTCATTCCCCACTCACCGTCCGCACCTGCCCGGGGGTGTGGCCAGCAGGTCAGGGGCATACCTGCAGGAGGCCCGGGGGCTCCACCCACGGCGCCCACGTGGACTCAACTGGCCACTCTGTCCCCCCCGCCCGGCAGGTCCCGTGGCTCACGCAGAGCAGGAGCCCGCCGTCCGCTCCTGCCCGCCGGCCGCCCGGGCTGTGCAACATGTACCAGGTAAGGTGAGCGTCCCCCGCCCACGCGCAGTGGCACCTCGTGGCCGCGGAGGAAGACATCCTCTCTTGATTCAGGGTGGGTCCTGCGAGGACAAGCCCTGGGAGTGAGCCTTGACCCGCCGCCCCGTCTCCTGGGAAAGCCAACGCCGGGCAGACCCGGAGCGCTCAGCAAGTCTGAGAGGAGCTGGCTCTTGCGCCACATCCCCCAAGTGCCCTGGGGTGGAGGGCGAGCCCTGGGACCTGCCCCCCTCCCACTGCTCTTCCAAGCCCATAGGGACTGTGGGGAGATCGCGTGGACAGCAGGGGCAAAACAGCCCTAGGAGAGGCATGGGACCAAGCCTGGGCCAGATGCTGGTCATGCGGGCCGGGGGGCACAGCCCCATGGGGACTCCCATCTGGGCGCCTGCTGTCCCAGCACAAACGGCCTGTGCCCCACCTGCCTTCTTAACCTGAGAACAAGGTTGAAAGCACATGCTGGAACACGAAACAGGAGGGCGGCTTCTGGCCCTTGATGCAGCCCCAGGGCTGAGCAGTGGGGCCCAGGGAATCCTGATGGTGGATCGTCCCTCTTTAAAGGCATCAGAGGAGGGGCTGGGAGAAGGGACGAAGACAGGCCAGAGGGGCATCCACAGACCTCTGGAGGGGAGGGGCAGCTGTCACCACCCCCATGTGATGATGTGACTGCAGGGGCTGCAGGATGCCCAACCCCAGCTGATCCCGGGGACGAGCAGCTCTACAAAGGCCAGCGGGCTCGCCGGGCTCCCAGGCAGGGCGGTAGGAGGCCGGCACTCAGGACCCTGCACCACCATCACCCCGGACACTGAGCAGTGACGGGGCTGCTGGCTGCGTGGGAGGGGCTTGTCCGTCAGGCCACCGGGCGGCGGGGATGAGTCCGCACCTGGACGGCTGCAGAGGGTTGGGGCGCCGCCGCCCCCACTAGTTGTGCTTCTGCTGTTTCTCATGCTCACTGTGCAGGGGGCTCTTCTCTCGTGGCTTTCCTTTAAAGCACGCACCCCCACCCCCAGGAAGGTGCTGAGGGCCCGCCCCCTGGGGGCCCATAATCTCTGGGGCCCTTGGGCCTCGGCTTGGTCTGGACTTGGCCAAGAGGAAGCCGAGCCGGATGGCCCTCCTGGGAGGGCCCAGGGTCCCCAGGCTCACTGTCACCCTGTAACATGGTGGGGGGACAGGGTTCGGGGAGGGCAGAGGTCCCCAAAAAGACACCCACATGTTCCCTTTGCCCTGAAGCCACCCAGAGCCCCCTTCTCTCCTCCACCATCAGAAAGCAGAGCGGCTCCACCCAGAAGCCCCACTTCACCACCAGTCCCGGGTGCAGAGCAGGAGGGCGGGGGCCAGGACTTCGGTGTTGAGCGGACGTTAAGACTGCTCGACAGAATGCTGACTCTTCTCTTTGCGGGGAAAAGCTGCAGCCCTGACCCCCATGTCTTCATCCTGGACAGACCACTGTGCCTCCACTTAACAAACCCAGCCAGAGAGAAACGGGAGCTCCACACAGCAGCGCCATATGGCTCCCGCTCGGGCTGCGGACGCAGCGTGAGGGGCGGGGCGCCTGCAGGCCGTCAGTCACAGGCCTTCGCCTTTGTCATCTGTCCTCTCACGGTCCCCCCCGGCCCTCACGGGGTCCGGGTGGGCTTGAGGGAACACACTGGAAGAGCCCGGAAGGTGTGGACGGACTAGGCGGCCGTGTGCGTGTCTGGGGGCGGGGCTCACACGTGGATTCAGGGACAGGAAGACGAGGTGGAGCAGGGGTTGACACAAAGCCCCCCGTCACGGCCGTGTCCTCTCCGCAGACCCCGCACAGGGCCCAGCCGCGCGTGCAGGTTCCGGGGGGCGTCTCCGCACCGGCTTCCCTCCCGCAGGTGGGGCCTCGCGGCTCTCATGCCCCCCCCACCCCCGCCGAGTAAACACTAGGCCGCCGTCCGCCCTCTGGGAGAAGGGCTGGCAGCTATTTTCAGCGTCCTCCTCCAGCATGTTGGCGTCTTTATTAGTTCAAGAAACCATTTGGGGTTTTTTTTTCTTTATCGGAGGGAGGAGTTAATGGCACCAGCCATGGGGAAAGGACTGAAGGGTCAGGCCACCCTAAATGGCTTTAAAACCTACTTGTCCTGAGATCCCACGACCAAGGCCCTTGAAATAGGTTCTCGGAGGAGCCGGAGACGCTGGGTGAAGCCACGGCTGAGCACCGCCTCGAGGGGCCCCGGGCCAGGAACCAGCCCCCCCCCCTTCCCCTGAGCTCCAGGAGCTCACAGCGGACGCGCGACGTCAGACGGACACGCTGGGCCCGGGCCTCCCAGCACTTCCCTCCTTCCCTCTGTCCGTCTCTCTCTGTGTACAAACCCCCCAGGAAGGGGGAGAAGGCCCAGCGGCCACGAGTCCACGTACCACACTGGGGAGCAGCCGGCTTCTTCAGGAACTGGCCGCCCCGCCCCCACCCCACCAGGGACTCGGATCCGGGGGATGTCAGCCTTGTCTCAGTCTGACGCGGGGCTGACACTCCCGGGACTGTAACGTGCCTGTGGGAGGGGGGAGGGGAGCCCCAGGACGCAAATGAAATTGCACCTGAGGCCCCCGAAGCAAGCTGGGAAAGCATGGTTCCGAGGTGGAGAAGAGGCGGAGGACACACAGCGGGGACGTCGGCCCCGGGTGAGGGCGGCAGAGCCTCTTCCTTCCGCTCCCTTATTGGGCCACCCCGGCCCCGCGTGGCTGGGCCTCCCAGAGCGCATAACGCAGAGCGCCTGGTGCCTGTGGGTGGAAGGAGCTGGAAGGGCGCCCTGAGCGGGCAGCAGGGAGCAAACGCCTGGCCCGGCACCCCCAGTCCCCCCTGTGCCGGCTTGTCCGGGCCCTGGAGATGCCGGAGCGCAGGGGACAGCCGCACGCAGCTCCTGCCCCTCGGCTGCTCTGATTGGTTCCCCTTGAAGTCCCTCTGCCTCCGTCCTGCGGCCCCTGGGATCTGGTCCTCGCCGGCCTGGAGAGAACACTGTCCCTGTCCAGCCACCTGGTCGTCAGGTGCACCCAGAGGTTTGTCCAGAGTCGCCTGCCTGGCTCTGAACCCACAGCCAACCATCCCCAGGGCACTCGGGGGTGAAGGAGTTAGACTCTCGGTACCTGGAGAAGCGCAGAGTGAGAATCGGCGCCGGGTTGCAGGTCTGATTCCTGGGCTCAGCCTCGTGTCGTCTGCTCTGAGCTGCCTTTTCTGGCCTGGAAAGCGGCAACCGTAGCAAAAATAACTGTCTGTCCTGCCGCTGGGGGCCTGTGCTGATGCAGAGAAAGAGGACCCCCACTCCTTGTGCTGGGAAAGACCGGCATCAGCCTGCCTCCCACAGGGACCGGAGCCGCTGAGCGCAGCCCCTGCGAGGCCGCGTCCCCACCCCACCAGCTCTGGCCCTCGGCCTTTGGGTTTCTGCTCTCAGACCTCGATTTCCTCACCAGAAGATATAGGTGTCAAGTGACAATGGCGAACATTTCTTTGAAGACAAAGGCGCCAGCAGCCCTTTCCTCAAACCTCCAGGGACTTCCTCAGCCGAGTGACAGCGCACCTCTCTCCGTTGAGTGCCCAGGGCGACATCACGTGCCTCAGGCTTGTGGGGTCTTGTTCTGCTCAGAGAAAACACAGCCTCGGTACCTGGGCGTCCCTCCCACAGGAAGGCCACCCCGAGACTTCCCTCCTAGTCAGTCTTCCAGTCTTCTGAATCGGATTTCATAATTTCTAAGTGTGTGGCTCTGACCAGAGCTGGGTGGTTTGGATGGGCCTGGAGGTCTGGCCGTGGGGACCCAGAGCAGATCAAGTTCCTCGGGGACCGTGCTGACGCGAGTGGGCAGGCCAGCTGGCTGTCCTTGGACCTCATGTCTCCCTGAGCGGGGCCGGTGGTCTAGTCTGCCCCCCGCCCCAGGAGCTGCCCCCCAGCACAGCCGCACCCAGCCGTGGCCTTCACTTGCTGGAAAGCCTGTTGCAACTTGGCGTCTCCTTCCAAAATAAGTCTTCCAGACTCTGCGGCCTTTAAACTGCTGGCTGTCATCTTGTGCGAGGGAACAGTTGAATTCCAAGCCAAGAAAAGGCATCCTGTATGACTGGTTTCTGCCTCTACTGAGATGTTATCTTGATGTTTATGTTGGAAAGCCCTCTACATGCTGTACACACACCGAGGCCTTTAATGGGTGCCTGGGAGCAAAGGGAAAAGGTCGGAGCGATCACCGCCAACATCCATCCCTGCCTCCCACCATCTTGGAAGGAGACCCAAGAAAGCCCCCCAGATTTCACGTTCAAGAACTTCGCTCTCAGCACCAGCTCTGCTGCCCTGAGTGGGGGTAACAGCGGGGAGCCTTCCCTGCAGGGAGGAGGAGCCCGTTCCTCCGAACGCAAGCTCTCCAGGCTTCCCAGACAAGATGGAAGGGCCTGCCATGCGTCAAGCAACGCTCCTGGTAGGGAGGCCCCGGGCAGCCGCGCATGAGACCGGACAAGATGGGACCCACCTGACAGCAGCGTCCCACTCCAGCCGGGGCCCCATCCACCTCCACGGCCTCCATCACATACACTCACTGGGCCGAGAGCTGGAAATCGGCCATGGAGGTGCCCGCCTGAGGTTAAACCTCCATCAGAAAATGCTCCGTCCCTGCGGTGTCCGCTGAGCCAGCAGAGCACTGACCGTAATGCCGACTTGCAGTGCTTCTGTGCCCAGGGCGACCTCACTCCCATGGCTCATGAAGTCTTGCTGTGTCACCACCCAGAGGCCTGTGAATCCAGCCCTTGAGCGGCGTCCCCGGAGGCAAAGCCCTTGCTCCCAAGGAGGCCGGGGGCTTCTGTTTCCTCATTTCAGAGACAGAAGCCGTCGCGCGCCTGCCCCCGGCGTTCACTTCACGTTCCGCCAGGAGCACGGAGTCTCCAGCTTGGAAACCAAACCGGTCCCTCTAGTCACAGCCGAGCGACCGCCCCACCGAGCGGAGCTTCAGGGACACACAGGCCACCCTCACCAGCCGGCCCCACGCCCCGCCAGCCACCTCGGTCCCAGCGTCTGAGAAGAAATGTGTCATCAGAACGGTCGCCGGGTCACTGAAATTTTCCGTCTGCCCCTGAGTCTGCCCAGTGACCGAGCTGCCTGCGGCCGACACCGTGAAGAAAGGACAAGCCCACGGCCTCAAACGCACCGAGTCAGGGATTCGGGAACAAACGCACTCTTGAACTCACCAAGGGCCGAACTGCAGGGTGACCCGCAAGGTCATTCAGACAGAAGGGAGTTCTGCCCAGATCGCGAAGCCTAAGCGCCTCGCCCTTGCGGGGGAAACCTGACCCCCGTCCCGGACACGCTGGGCGCCGTCTGAGCGGGAGCGGAGCAACTGCCGCCGCCAAAAACACGCAAACAAATCGATGGGTGTGGCTGAGAGGCGGGGGTGGGGGGGCTCGGGGCCCAGCGACCTGCGGAACCTGCCAGAGCGCCGCGGGCCGGGGAGCGGGGAGGGGACAGGCCACGCCACGGCACCATCCCGGAAAGGGAGTGACGTCAGCGCGCGCGGCTTCCGCGCAGACGGGCCGCGTCTTCTGCAAGCTTGTGCCCTTGTCACCACATGCTCTGGTCTTTCACACTTATGTTACAGGCCCCCCAGCCCAGCATCTGGGCCCATTGCCCAGGGGGGACTTGAAACTGCTCCTTCCTTCCTTCCAAAGGGCTACAAAGAGGTGGCCGGGTGGACAGACCCTGTCACCTCTCACCAGCGACACGGTGGGAAGTCGGCAAGGCCAGCGAGCGTGGAGGAGAGCCATTTAGTGGAACTGCTCGACAGAAGCCACTCAGACTGCTGCCCCGTGAGGGGTGCCTGAGGACGGGACACCAATTCAGCAGGTTCCTGAAGGGTGTCAAGGGTTAGTATAAGCCACAGAAGTGCGAAGCCAGAGAAAGTGGGCAGAAGTCCATCCGCCTCATGGTGAGCTACATTGCATGGCTCTCGAAGACGAAGAAAAGAATCCGGGAGAAGCATTACTTGGCTTTGTCACCATTGTCACAAGTAAAGAAATCACTTTGTGACCCCAGGTCTTGCTCTATTGTCCTTCCTTGTCATGGGCAGTTAGGAAAAACAGCGACACCATGATTGTCTGCGGTTCCAAACAGATTAACAAGACAAACCACTCAGCTGCCTGGATCTGAGTTTCTTGAGTCCTGCGGAATCAAAAGTTCCTCTACGGGGTGGGGGAAGTGAAATGCAAATCCCTTTCCTCCCTCTGTCTCTAGACCACCAGGGAGACCACCTCGTGAAGGCATGTGTCCTCAATGGCTCTTCGTGGATGCGCGCACGGTCCTGCCTCTTCAGTCCGTAGCGTGATGGGACAAGTGGCAAAGCCATGCGTTTGGGGACAGCTGGTGGGTGGGGCGCTTCCAATCACACAGACAAACCAGAAGGTGGCAGACAGTTCAGTTCTGCTCGCTTGGGTTGAGGCATTACTTTTCCACTGAATGTGGGAGCTGACCAGCCCCCAGGTTTCATCCTTTAAAACAGCAGCAAACCTGAAAAATCTCGTGTCTCTAACTAGACTTGCGCCCGCTGCATCCAACCCCCAGCGTTTGCCAGGAGACCAGGGCTCGTTCTGCAGCGAAGAGTGGCAACCACACGTCCCAGTTCTCCGACTGTCTCTAACCAACGTCACCACAATGCTTTCTTTTTCTTCTTTCCGAGCACATTGTTATTTCCAGCTCATCCCACCTGCACCAGGTGTGAAGTCTACCTACAAACTTTGAAAGAAAGGAACACAACTTTGTGGAAGTCCATCCTTCTCTGTTACCTCCCTTTGCTCACGTGGCTGCTCCGTGCTTTCTCACCTGCTGGGACCTCTGGGTTGGGAGCATCTCCTCTCATCCACACAGGCTCCGCGGGGATCTCACCTGGCAGGGCCGCCGAACACTGGGAGCCGGACTGCAAGGGAGCAGACCCGGCAAGCTCTTCCCCCAACCCCTCCAAGAACACCGTCCACACCCGGAGGACGAGGGGTGGCCCTGAGCAGCGCTTTTGGTCTAAGACCCACAAGGGTGAAAACACTGATGTGTCCACCCCAGGGTTTAAAGGCAGGTGGCATCGCTGTTTTTGCTCCTTTTTCACACTAGATTCTTCGGGGGACATATGGAGAACCATGCATTCCTAGAACTTGTGTGAGAGACTTGATTCAGAAAGTGCCAGGAAGAAACTTGTCACTGCTCTGAGTCACCAGATGACTGGACCCATCCGAGACAGGTCCACAGAGAGGCCACTGTGGGCCAGGCTCTGCCCTGGCATCAGTACCCATCGCTGAGCCAAACAGCTGCCTGGGGCCTCGGTAGATTTCCCGTCAGGAGTTAGGTGTCTACTGAAGTCTGAAGGCTGTTCAGAAATTATCTGCATCTATAGATATGTAGCAAAAGAATGCGTTACAGCTCTGTTACAGCTCAGTTGTGACAGCAACCTGGATCCGGAGAAGATACCAAGCAGCACCGACAGAGTTGGAGAACTCAGCTTTACTACACCACCAGGCCCAGAAGAGCTAACACTTCAAGCTCTGGACACCGGTCTGTAGGTTTACACAGGCCTTTTATAGGCTGTCAGTTTACACTTTGCAACATCATATGTAAATAAAGTACAACAGAAGTTGACCAACCAGGAACAAGCTTTGTAGAAATACACCAATCAGGACTGAGCTCCATGCAAATGAAGCACTACAAATGGACCAATCAGAAGTTAGGGAAGTGGACCAATCAGAAGTGAGATTAATAACCAATCAGGAGTGAGAGTAATAACCAATCAGAAGTGAGAGTAATAACCAATCAGGAGTGAAAGAAATAACCAATCAGACGTGAGCTCAGGGGACCAATAGAATTCTAGGTGTAAGTAAGCCTCTTTAGAGGCAGAAAGTGAGATAGAGGCTCTGGGCCAGGGAACTGGCCGGTGCTGGGAGGAGAGCAGCGGCCGTGCCTCGGGGTCCTGCCGGTCTTTTTATGGGGCTTCCGCCTCAGTAACAGACCCAGGGCCGTCGGCGGGCTGAGTGGAGACAGCCCGGGGTGAGGGCACGTGCGTCGGCGACCTCCAGGAAGACGCTCGACTCCGAGTCTTAAGAGGGCAGAGGTTTCCAAACAGCCGCTCCGCGCGGAGCGCATCTCTGTTCACATCACGTGGAAAAGACGGAGCACGTGTTACCAACACTCCTTGTCAGGTACGCATTGTGTTTGCAGGAGCAGTTTCCCCCAAACTGGCGGGTGACGGGCCCGGAGTCAGCGTGGAGGGACAAAGCGTCCGCTGGGTGACACCTGTGACCTGCGGGCATTTGGTGGCCCTCACCTTGCCCCGCACCCGGGGCATCACATCATCATGGACACTTTGTCATTAGGTGCCGACGTAAGAGACAGGCAGGATTTTGGAGCTTGGGTTTTAAAGCACCAGAATGAGAGCTGGTCCTGACGGGCCGGCGGTGCCAGCGCGACCACCGCGAGCCCTCCGGCTGCGTTATTTGTGCCTGGGTAGCTGATGATTTGTTACTGTTCTCTTGCCTCCTTTGTCCTCATCCGAGTCATTCTTCCAGAAGAGAGAGGCAAGGACATTAATGCTTGGCAGAGGGAGGGGAGGGGGTCCGGTCTCCTGGTGCCCAGCAGGGAGGGCACAGGGCCCGCGAGTGTGAAACAGAGCGGGGACCCGTCCCGGAACCGCGCGCTTGCTATGATTCGGGTCGTTGGCATTCTGATGGTGGATTCAGGGAAGACTTTAAATTCCTCTCTCAGACAGGAAACAAATTAAGAACTAGAACTCTCTTTTCCCGGAAGCACAAAACCGCAGGCACAGTGAATATTCATTTTTTTTCAAGATAACAGCATTTTCCTCTGAGCGGGAATAACTCCATCAATTTGTTCCAGTCAAATCCAAACACAAGTGATGGCGCAGACAAACGCCTTGTCCCTGTTTCCATAAAACAGCCGCTCACTCAGGGAATGGATCTCTCCCCCATCTGAAGACCATCCATCTTCGGATGCATCAGGCGAAAACTAATCTCCCGTTATTATTCGCCAGTTTAAGAACTCCCAGCTCTCCAGCAAATTGGAAAACAGTTAAAAATCCTCCCTGGTGTTGGGGTGGGGGTGGGGGCCGTAGTGGGGGGGGGGTGTGTGCGCGCGAAAGCCGCCCAGAAGCCAAGTGCACGAGCTCCTCCCGCTGGCAAAGGACGTTAACACAAGTGGAGGGAACACAGTCATTTTTCAAAAACAGCAGTGAGTGAAACAGGCCAACGGAAAGCAATTCATGTTAAAAATCAATGGCGTAGCGGTCCTTTATCCCGTGGCCTTCCTCCCATAGTGTGTAAGTTTTTTAGCACACTGTTATTTCATAGGCCATCACGACGTTTATTGCTGTTTTGTTAATCATGACACAGAAAAGGGTAACATGTCAGTGCACGTGCCACCGTGTCACTGTGGTCACTGTCCACATCTCAGGGGCTCCCGCCTGCGGGAAGCCAGGTCTGCACGTGGGCATCAGAGTGTGAACCAAGGTCTTCCTTCACCTGTAGGGTTTCTTCCACGAACGATTTTGTTCCAAATCTTCACGTAATATTATTTTTCTGAACGACTGAGAGGTTTTCATTTTTTTAAATTTTTTTCTAGTTTCGTTTATTGAGATACTCAGCTGCGTGTGTTTCGGAGTCCCTGTGTTAATGTCCTGACCGCAAGTGTAGACGGGTGGGCGTGGGGTGGGGTCCGCATCTCAGGTCCCATCTTGTCTGACCGCCCACGTCAGGGTGATGGCCGCTCCCTCCCGCCTGGTTCTTACCCTACAGGAAGACTGATCTTCGAATTCCTCCTGTGCCTTTTAATCACCTGCAAAGTAAATGAGGGACTTGGAACAGGATAGACATGAACCCAGAGACACCAGGCATGGCAAATAAGTGTAAAATGTTAACAAGTCTGGCTTTTCGGTCCTTCGTGAACACAGATAAATCTGTGCATTAAGCCTGTAGGTCAGTCTAGGGAGAACTGGTATCTTTGCCACACTGAGTCTTCTGCTCTGTGAATATAGTGTGTCTCTCCACTTGTTTGTCATCTTTGATTTCTTCCACCAGCATTTTCTGGTTTTTGCATAAAGATCCTATACATGCTTTGCTAAATTTATAACTAATATTTGTTTCTCAGGTGCTATTACATACAGTAGTGGCT